ATCTTTACAGCGCGCGGTAAATCTTGTACTTGTACAGTACACAATTATAATATGCAAATAAAAAGTGAGACAAGTAAAAAGTATAATTTTTGTAATTAACAGATTCCGCATTTCATCCATACTTTTTTCTTTGAGGGTGAATTTCTCGATCGCTAGAAATAATTAATGCGCAAATTTTCGGCGTGACAGCAAAACGCTGTATCGACTGATGCATATATCAACGTGTCGAAAACTTTTTACTGTATGGTATGTAATGCGTGCCTTACACTTCAACGTCAACATTCTCGTTAACGCAGGACAAAAAGAAGAATGCTACTGCGACATGATTCTGCAATTTTAAAAGCGAATTTTATCCCAGACTCTCCATTCCCGGAGTTTATCAACAGATGTCGATTAATGACATGCTCTATCATACGTCCACGACATGTAAATGTTGAAGGGAATAGTCAAGTCACGTATAATTTTGACACAATGCAAGTCACTCGGCATTTATCTGTGAATGATTTTAATTTGATATTCAAATAGAAACAAGATTAAGAATAATTCATATTATAAAATATTGTATATTAATTTTTTTTTAATATATGGTACATACTTCCGTAATTAAAATGAAAACTCGCGTAGAGAATAGAGAAGCTGTTTATATGGAAATTTAATTAATAATTAAAATCGGAAATTTTTCAGACCAAAAAGTGGCGATAATGCCTGATAATGTTCTCTTGAATATATAATTAACTGGAGTAAAATATATATTATTCTTTTTTTAATTATCCGAAGATAATGAGGGATTTTATGCAATATTTTTTAATTTTAAAGATCCTATATTTTAAAGTAATAAAACATACAATGCAAAAATCAGGAAGCAAACTAGATAGATCTGGATATCACTCTATTATTTCACAGATTAAAGGGGCATGGTATCACATTAAAACAAACATTTGAAAATTATTGAGTTGTTTAATTATGTAAAGCAGAACCAAGTTTTGAGATGCAATCTGCTTTTCGATCAATAGATAAAAGAATAGGATAAAAGAGAAATATACAGAGAGAAAGGGGAAGAGAAAATGAGAGCGAGAGAGAGAGAGAGAGAGAGCACACAAAAACCACAGAAACAGTTAGTATGTCCTATGCTCTCTTTCTCTTTCTCTTCCTCTCTCTTTCTCTCTCTCTCTCTCTCTCTCGTCGCACGCGATGTCCAATTAAAGCTCTCGAGCCGGTGACTCCAATTAAGACTCTATTAAATATACACCCAGCGCGTGTGTATCGTCGTCAAAGCGAAATTCAAATGGCGTTGGCAGTCCTCCTCCCTCCTTCGCGCTCGTGTATTTGCTCCGAACAAACGGCCCCGCCGTAATAAAGTTGGCGTTAATTAACCGTGCGAGGTCTCTTATCGCGTATTATGGAACGTACTTGCCGCACCATGGCGTCTTTTCTGCTGCGATCGTTTTGCGTGTTTTCTTTCGTCAATTTCATTTCATGGCTAAGCGGGCGGTGGTTTCTCTTTGTCATTATGGTTTCCCTTTCTCATCTTGACGGTAGAAATCGTACGAGAGTGATTAAATTGTAAACTGATTCGAAGCGATTTTAACAATTAATCTCGGGCGGGGAGAATTTTCTGTAACTCTAATATGGACTCTAATATGGCGATGGAAACAAAACAAAAGATAGAAAATTCAATTAAGTTAATACAAAATGGCCTCAGGCTTGCAAATTTCGAAGGCACTAAGAAACATCAGGCGATGTTTTAGATCTTTAAAGTAATCTTGGGTTAAGGTAAATTTAAACGTTTATGTAGATAAGGAACACTTATGGAATTAATCACGCATGTATTATCGGTGGCCATATTACACCAGCAAAGTCCTGGTCCCTCCGCAGTCCATGGTACGCATATATAATTTAATATCATCTAGTGATTGCTTCGAAATTCAGGTCACGACGCGATATCCGTCGCGTGCAATTTGCGCCCACGTATGCTCGTTGCTATCACGATATTGCTCGAGATAATAATGGCGATTTATATTCTCGAAATAAGACTCGAAATTATTGTATTAAGACTACGACTGAAGTCATTTTCAATTACTGAACCAAAGTATTCTGCAAAATTTGGTTATCTACGGAAAGACCGCGCCTTGCATTATTATTTTCTCTTTGTGAACAAAACCTGAAATTTTTAACCGTTTATTAAG